CTCCTCCCTGGGGGACGGACAACAGAAAAGTGGGTGAAGGGAGATGTCGGACAGGGCAAGATATGACAAAATAACAATTTATAAACTATCAAGGGTTCATAAAGGAGTGGGGAGTGGGGAGGGAGGGGAAAAATGAGGACCTAATGCTGGGGGTTTAAGTGGAGAGAAAATGTTTTGAGAATGATGAGGGCAATGGATGTACAAATGCGCTTTACACAATCGATGTGTGTATGGATTGTGATAAGAGTTGTATGAGCCCCTAATAAAATGATTTTTTAAAAAAACCAAAAGCCTATTTTCCCCAGGGGGTTGATAAGACTCTCTACCATAAATTAACAAGGAGGTCTTGAACGGGAGTCAAAGGCAGATAATTAAATAAAGATCCAGGAATGAGTTTGTGGCTCTCACAAAATCTTAACTCCAATTTAAGACCAATTAGTTCTTACATCATGGCCCTGCTTGATACTCGCTGTCATAAAGGGAACACAGAAGATATGGGTACTATAGCAAAGTGTGGTGAAGAAAGTAGATTGTGACCGGCTATCAGATAAAATAGTATCTGGGGTCTTAAAGGCTTCTTTCCAAACAAGTTGCCATTTAAGTGAGATGTCAACTAAGACCACAGGGAAGAAGCACACCAACATCAGTCACTAAAGGATTGTAAATCATAAAATCCAAAGCTGAAGGAGGGAGTAGTATAAGATGCTAAATTGTGAGAATCTGGTTTGCAGAAGGCTATGGATGACAGTGGGATCCCAAGATACATTTGTGCAATCTACATAGGAAATAAGCACCTGGTGACTTTGATTGATCCATAATAGAGGGATGGAAAGAAACTGGTTACCAAACAGAGTGCATCAGAGAGATGACTATAGAAATTCAAAGTGATAAACCTGATTTGAACAGTTAAAACTTTGTCAGTTGATTCCCCACTCTGATGCACATTAGACCTGATCTAGTTTCCATGTTTTCTGTTTTTTTGTTGTTGTTGTTCATATTGAGGTTTATCTCAGATGTGTTTTGTCATTGGGGGTGACCCTCTTGGATTTTTGTTATATATTTGTCTGGTTTTCAGTATATGAATCCCAGGATTGATGTACCTATAAGGACAGCAAGTAGAATAAGGGTTTCGGGGAGGGGGTGTTATAATGTAGGAGGAGGGGGAGGTAAAAGGGAGCCAATGTCAAGGAGCTCAAGAAGGAAAAGACTGTTTTGAGACCATTTGTGGAAGCAATTGTACAATACTGCTTGATGTGATTGAACTATGGGGTCATATGTTATCTGTATTAACTCCCAATAAAATGGTTTTGAAAAAACTATTTTCATATATTGTCCCCAAATTATATTTCTATCGTCCTTATGTTTAGAGCATGGGACAGGTATTTTGGATACATATAGGAAAAGCATCTAAGTCCATCTGGGTCTTGGTGGGAGTTTCTATATACTATAATGTGGCTTCTCACTCAGATTTTCCTGTAGGTGAGAATAGATGACTTGCTCTATTACACAAAGAAATATTTAACACAAAACTCCATAATTTCTTCTTTCAAATCTCTGGGAAATCATGCAATTTCAAAATCTCCGAGTTAAGAGAGTACCAATTTGGTCTTTCATGATAGCATTTTATTGAAGAGTTTAAACCTATCTCTCCTACTTTCAAGATAGAATTATAATAAATTATAGTATTATCACACATACAGAAGAGAAGAAAATGTAGATATTGTTGGATTATTTGCTTGTATTTTAAGAAGGCAATTAGAAGGAAAAGGAGACAATGCTTGAAGCTTAATTTGAAGTAACTTCATTTTAGTTCACTCCTTAAGGATTCTTTCATATTTATATTTATGTAATAGCAAAAATAGGAATAAAACAAGAAAGTTCTCTGTAATAGAAAAGTTTTCACTTTACAGCTTTTTTCCTAGAGATAATTTGGTAAAATGTACATTTTCCTATTTGGAGGGTAAAAAAACTACCTTTATTAATAAATATTTATGTTGTTGGTAAACAATCCTTGTTTGGGTTGAGAGTAGTTGGCTAAACACATTATAGTTATTTTTTAATCATTTTATTGGGGGCTCATACAACTCTTATCACAATCCATACATACATCAATTGTGTCAAGCACATCTGTACATTCGTTGACCTCATCATTCTCAAAACATTTGCTCTCCACCCAAGCCCCTGGCATCAGCTCCTCATTTTCCCCCTCCCTC